TTCGATAAATATCCAATTTAATAAATTTAATCATGATATATTTTTAACCCGAAAAACATTATTTTTAAAAAATGTGTTGAGATATTTATTAAGATTTTTTACTATAATACAAAATACTATTTTAATAATTTTAAGCAAAAATTTTCAATAAAAACAATGTAGTATTTATATAATTTTAAAGTTTATTTCTTTAATATTTTAAGAATAGAAAAGATTCTTTTGAATAAAAGAATTATTTAATATTAAAGAAAAAAAGTATTCTAAAAACAAAATTTATGAAAAGGTTTAGATTTCTTAGAATTAAATATACTATTATTTATTAAAAAAATTTTCTTCCTGTGTTTTGTTCTATTTGACATTCATAAACCGTTATTTATATTTATAAAACAAAACCATCAATATTTTTTTGTTTCATAAAGTCGTTAAAATCAAACTTATTTTATGAAAACATTATGGATGTGGTGTTAAATAAGATATTGATAATAAAGTGTGAAAATTTTGGTTCGATTAGACAATTAAAATCAAAAGAAAATAAAATAATTTTATTTATTTAATGCTTCAATACAATTAAAATTATCGAAACTTTTTAAATTTAATTTTTATTAAAATACTATATATTTGTTAGACTTTGTAAATTTATTATAATTTTCTTCTTTATTCTTCTAAATATTTCTATTATAAAATGTTTTATAGTCTAAATCAATATTTTGATTTGAAAGTTTTAAAAGGTATGTTTTTGAAAAATGATTATTATTTAGATACAGTATAAACATAATTAAACTAAATGATTTAAAATTCTTTTATCTATTTTTTAATTAATTTAAATATACTTTTAAACCATTAAACAGTTTATCTGATAATTAATTATTTCTTATATGTAAACGAAAAAAAATAAAACAAATTATATTTTATATTTATATTAAATATTAAATTGTCAAAAATATAATACAAACTTTAAAATTGGTTTTTATATAAATTATCATCAATTTAGAATTTTTATTCTTCAATTTATTCTAAATAATAAAACAAATAACCATTCTTTATTGTATAACAAAATTTTAGAAACTATGATTTTATAATTTTAAACATCTACAAAATATTTATAAAATTAAAATAAAACAAATATTTTATTTATAAAAACAAAATGATAAAATAAATAATAATTTTTTTGCACATCTTTTTTTATTATTTTTTTTAAAATTTAATTTTTTAAAAAGATTGTTTACACATTCACTTTTAAGTGTAAAAAATTTATTTTAATTTTATATCTCAAAATTATATTTTATAATACATTAATATCTTTAATTTAGTTCAGAAAGTATAATAAGTATATTTTTTATTTTATGTCGAATTTTTATTTACTTTGAATCTATTTTTATTTTTGATGATATAAAAGATTCTTATTGTTTAGATTTGATTTCATGTTTATTATAATAGAAAATTTGTTTTCTAACATTAAAACTTCTCCCTTTCTTTATTCATATTTAAATTTTTTTGTTTAATATACAAAAAATATTTTGATAAACACTTTATACTTTCTGAAAAAACTTTCTCGGTAAAAAAAGTAGTATTTTCTTAATTTTATATTATAAATAATTCATAGTCTTAATAGATCATAATTTGATCAACTTTTAAAAAATTAAATTATAAAAAAATACATTTATAAAATTTTATCAAAATTCTAAAATAAATATAACCTTTTAAACAATTTTATAAATTTTTGTAAAAATATAAAAAATTTTTAGTTAATAATATAAGCATCCTATAAATATAATTTTAAATACCATTTCACTTATATTCAAAATATAATATAACAATTTAATAAATTTTTTGTAAAAAAACTAAATTTTTAATCAATTTATTATATTAAAATATTTAATATCAATCAAAGTAACTTTTTAAAAATAAATGAAACTTTGTTTTCTAAATTTGATTATATTTCTCAATAACTATCACATTTATAAAAATTATTTTTTGTATTATTAAAATTTAATCTTAAATGATAATCAAACCTATAATGAAATAGTGTATTTGAGGAGTTTTTAATGTTAAAAACTAATCTAATGAAGGTTAAGATGAAAAATAGATTGTTTTTTAAAACTGTAGATAGAGACATCTTTTCTTATTAATACAGTAATTAATTAGTAAGAAATTTCAATATACATATGATAAAATAGTGTTTAGCAGATTAATTAATAATTAATCTAAGTTGAATAAACAAAATCTTTTGAATATAAAATCCACCACCAGAAAAGTAACTCGAGAACTAAATGTTACATAATCAACAGTTTTTAAAAAATAAAGTTTTATAAAAAATGTTAATTATTTGTTTAGATTGAAAAAATTTCAAAAACATAGTAAAATTTTAAAAATCGAATTCGATGAATTTTTTTAAAAGATATAAAACTAAATTTTATAGAAGTATATCCATTAAAGCAATAATTTTCATAAGTGATGAAAAATGGTTGTTTATAAAATATTTATTTGTCAAGAAAATATAAAAATTAACTATAAACAAATATTTCTTTATTAACAAGGGTGTTTTTTTATAACATTTTTTATTTTTGTTTGATAATATTTCAATATATTTAATTATGGTAAATTAATAATATTGAATAAAAAAATTAGACAAAGAGATTGGTGATATATAATAGAAAAACAACCAAAATATAAATATATAAAAAATCAACTATTTTTTACTTTTCATTATATTTTCATATTATCATAAATCTAGTTTATTAACAGATTTTCTAAGAGTAAATAATTTTAAAATTTTTTATAAATTAAAAAATAAAAGATTTTAATTTGATCAATTTTTATCAAATGATGTTTAAAACCAAACTAAAAGATAGTTTATATTGAAAAAACAGTAAATATTTAACTAAAAAATAAACACAGAAAGTTTTTAATAAAAAATAATCATAAATCATGTTTTATATATTTTTAGTTTACTAAATCTAATAAAAATTAAGTGTTTAATACATAAAAATATTAATCTTTTATTATTCCTTTAAATTTCAGATGTTTTTTTTTTGAATTTTCAAGAATAATATAATATGGGTTCTTTGTTTTTTAAGATCAGATGTTGTTATTTTTAAATTATTATATACTATTTTGATTAAAAACTGTAAATTATTTATATTTTTTATTATAAATAGAAAATTTCAATACCTTTCATGTCATATTTTAAAATATTTTTTAAATATTTAGTTTATTTGTGTTACAGAAATTATTTATATTAGAATTATATTATTATTTAAATCAAAAAATTCTTTTTCTTCAATTTTTAAACTCTAATCAATTAAAATTTAACGTTTTAATATCAACAATCTTTTTCAATAAAGAATATTTCTTAATATAAAGAAATATCTTGTGATCGAAGTAATAAAAAATAACAATATCTCTCTAATATTATTTATACATATTTGAAAATTATAAAAATATAGTAATCATTGTTAAAAATTGTTAATATTAAAAAAA